ACAATGCGCGTTGGATAATTAATTTTTATTACTTTTTTCTGGCATACATATTCCGTAATACTGTTTCACCTGCTCTTCGAACTCTTGTACATGAGAGGAATGATGGGAATAAATGTGGAAATTGCTAAGGAAGCGAACACAGGCTACTCGAAAGATATAATACTTTTTTCACACCAGTCCGCAAACCGATCAAGGATGATTTGTCAATATACAGCAAGAACTTCTAAAAACCTGCATTTAATCAATAGGTGATCCTATATCGCCCATGTTTTACAGGGGCTGCTTTGATACGAAATTTAGAAAGCAAGACTGGAAAGATGGTTGAAGAACAAATGCGAGCAGCTAAATCATTTACTCTTCGGGATGAAAACTCTTGTTGCGAGTAGCTTCTACGGAGATAAACGAGATTCACGAATAGAGTTCCGCTAATGCTTTCAAAAAGTTTTACAAGCAATACAGCTTGAAAAAAGTGCGTGCACCTTTTAACAATACAGGTAATTTCTAAACTGTCGACAAAAAGTTCAAGAAAAAATTGATGTACTCACCCGCTTTCTGCTTCTTCTGCGAATACAGCTCGTCGTCACCAGCCTATAAAATTAGCTGTAAGCTTTTAAGAATTTTTTTTCACTGGACACAAAAAAAAATTAAAGTCTTCTTCTCCTCCCTACTGCCTCTCCAGAGGATGATTTGATAATATTCATCAAGAACTTTTAAAAAAAAACCCTAAAAATTCTGTTCCCAAGATAATTTTCTTAAATATCAGTCTAAAAAATTTTTTGATTTTTCGCAGAAAAAAACAGTAATTATGTGGTTTTTAATGGAATTTTTGAGCGCGCCAAAAACATCATGACTAAAAATTAGAATTCAAAATAAGTTTTTCAAAAAAAAAAAACAGACGAATGCTCGTTCTTGTTTATTCTGGTGATTCACAGGATGAACACAAGAAAAAAACTTCCCGCAAAGTTATCAGGAGTCATCGCACTTTTTGCAAATGCTTTTTTAAATTAAATAAGATTTTCAGCTCTTTCTTTTTCGCAAGCAACAAACGATGCACACGACTTGGAAACAAGCAAATTATAACACGAAAACAAGGCATGGCTACGTTCGTTATTCGGCTATCGAAGTTCAACAGCCCAAGCAGTTTTAGTAATGCCAGAATCCAAGACTGTCATGAAAATAGGGTGTGGAGATTCCATGTTAACGATGATAATGATAACAATAGTAATGATGATGATATTAACAGTAGTGACGATAATAATAGCAATAACAGTAATGATAATAACAACAATGATAACAATAATGATACTTGTGAAATACTTTTCATACGGCAAGCACACCTGCGCCAGGCCTTTCAGTTCCGAAATTTATATCACCAGTAAGTGTCTACCACTTGTTCATTGTGCACCCGTAACTTTTCAGAGGTCGCCTGAATGGCCGTTTACTTTCTCGCAAGTACCACTTTCTACAAAAACTGATCGAGAAACAATAGTAAAAAGCAACCTGTTCACCGTGGTCAACATCCAATTCTTCGCAGCTTTCGGCCCGTTCCGGGACCCGCCCGGCACTGAATGCAAATAGGTCAGTTGCGAGCAGCACCGAGGAACGACGTTTTTCGGTACTTGAACGTGGTGAAGGTGGTGGTGGAGAGCGAACTTTACCACCTCCCCCACCACCATCATCCAAATCGTATGTGTTAATCTCGATCTGCAAACAAAACCACTTGTGCTAATCCAGAAACAACCTCTCCACGGTAGCAAACAGAACCTCAAAACAAAGGAACTAAGAATGCTCTCCTCAACTTAATTTTCAGGTGAGTGAAACCGTACAGAGCCTTGAATAACAAATGCATTCCAGAAAACTGAGTTACAGCTCTGCTGAAACATGTATTTAGAACATTTAATTGCAATGACAGATAGTAATGATAATGCTGTGGTAATTGTGATAAGAACATGAAGCATTAGAGATTACAAAATCTAAGCGCCGTAGGGTCTTTGTAAACAGCATCAACTTTGATGGATAATAACAATAATAATCTGGTTCAAAAGTCAAGAAGTTAAAACCCTTTGTACCGCTCTTCACGCGAGGTGGAAACACTCAAAAAGCAGTTCGACCGGTAGCAAATGCCAGCGGTAACTTCGCTCTGGAGAGAATGTCGATGGCCCCTTCTTTTAAATATTGCTTACAAGTAAGCGGAGCGGGTGTCGAACCTTCAACCTATTCGACTACAACAACCTACTCCACTGTGCCATGCTTTATTATTTATCATTATTGTCATCACAATTAACATTATTATCATTACTATCATTATTACGAGCTTTAAAAATAGCGATAATAACGGTAAAAATAATAAGAATGATGAATAATAATGAGTGTTAAAATAGTTGTAATAATAGCGATGGTAATAATAGTGAACGTAATAATAATGGTAATTATAATAACAGTAATAACAAAAGTAGTCGAAATTAGCAGTGGCAGCGTAAAAATTCATTGAATACAGCACGGTTTTTCTTCGTTTAAATTCGAGACAATAATGACCAGAAAATACAGTCCTTACAGGCTGAACGGATTACTTGCTTAATTTGCCAAAAAAGCAATTACAATAATAACGAATAACTAATAGTAATAATAATAATTTACCGGTGCTACGCGAGATCTGTTCTTGTTCATCTCCGGTTTCCGATCGCTGATGCTCCGGCGCAGTGGAACTGATGGTTTCGGTGCCGATGGACTCAGTGGCGAGCTCTCACTATCGGCTAAACCGGAACTGACGCTAGCATCTCGTTGTGGAATGCCGGTGGCAGTACCATTCGGTAACACACCATCACTTGTGCCGAGCGCTTGCTTTGAGCATCCCACTCCTCTTCCGATCGTTTGTTCGGTGGATGTTGGCGTTGAATCTAGGAAACGTATTCTACTTATTGTAAAACATCAAAAAATGCATTGAATGTGCTGATGGCCGAAAAAAACCACAACATTCCAGCCCTTGCTTTTCCTTACATTCTTCTGTTAATATATTCTTGCGGGTCCACAACAAAGGGAAGCCGCCAACCAAATTTTTACGATCGTTTGTGGTTATTCACTACAACGGAGCTGATGTAAAAAATCGCCGGCGGTCTCTCGCTCTTGCCTATTTTTACTTTAGTTTATTTCGATACGTCAAATATACAGCAGTTTATTTATAATTAACTGTGACTAACTATATTTATAGCTAACTACACTGATGAAGCCACATCATGGTGTTCAAACATGGTGTTCTGCTACTCTATACCCTGAAGCTGAAACGGAAGCACAGTACGCACAGCAAACGTGTGCCCCTCAAATTTTAACTTTTTATTCTCATCCTCAATATTATTGTTTTTCATCTATTTAAATTATTATTCTCATTATTATTGTTGTCATTATTATCATTATTATTATCGCTGTTATTGTTTTCTTTTTATTACTGTTTCTTTCATTTTCGATTCGTGTTTTTCATTTCGATCCAAGCATTTTCGAAGTTATTAATATATCTCGTTATTTCCAATTCTGCGATATTTTTTGCTGAAAGTTTCTTCTTAAAATTATTAGCTTAACTCAGGATTTGGGGACTTGGTTTTGCATTTAAAGCGGTGCTTCCAGCACGAATCTAAAATTATCAGAATTACAGTTCGGCTTCGACAGGAGCCACAATACAGTTCATTGCAAAGTACTTTATCCCCTTACACGTGACGACAGTTATGTAACAACATTATCGTCAGTAGCTTTCTATCTGCGATTTTTGAACGAAAAAT